TCTAATGATTTAACTTCATGAATAAAAAAAAGAATAAAAAGGAAGTCATCTGGGTGAAATAAATCAAACTGCTTAAAAGCTTTGAGAATTGGATCTGCTCAAGGCTTTTTAATGCTACGTTCAGACCGGACGCAGCAAAAGCAGCAAAATCGCGTCTGCTGCTTCCTTTTTGCTGCTTGTACCAGTTAGTTCTGACGCGCGGCTGAAGCAGCTTTGCTGCTCTGCCTGCACGGTGCAAAAGTGGCTCTGACGCGCGTTGGGCGGAGCTTCACTATCCTTTCTCTGCCTTGCAGCTATATTTGCTGTGATCAGTGGGAATAAAGTAGTTTTAATATGTTTTTAAGTGAGAAAATACATCTGAAAACTTCATCAGTGCAGTCAGTTCATCCAGATTACAATCCTGCCTCCCAATGTTATTTCTGTCGGAGCCTCTCAGACCCCCACATACCCCCACATGCCGACAGAAGGAATCCCTTCAACAGCAGCCTCTTGCCGGGTCACCTCCTCGCGGTTCACCGTGGCGGCTGGTAGGTGTTTTTCATCTAAATAATCCGATCTGCAGGCACCAGAATAATAAAAGCGAACATATTCTGCCGGCAGATGTATATATTTTAAGTTAATTATGCGCTAATAAACTGTTTAAGAGGAGTGATCAGAGCGGTCTGTGTCATCAGCGCTGTGTCTCTCTCCCTGCCAGCTCCTAGATCAGCTTCTCTGATTGGTTGACGCGGGGCGTCGAGTAGCAAATATTCAATTTTTCCATCTCGAGCAGCAACGTGTTTGCGGCGCGTCACGCGCGTCAGATGCTTAAACGCGCCCGATGCGCTGCTTTAGCTGCTCAGACGCGCTGCGCCTGCTGCTCAAAACGCGCCGCGGGACCTTTTGCTGCACCTTGACGCGCGTCAACCATTGACTTTGCATGTAAACTCGCTGCTTCTGTCGCGCCAGCTGCGCCCAGTGTGAACGCAGCATAATGCCTGACTTAGACCCAAATAACTGGTTATGCAAAATGCTTGCATAACTGGAAATGCATAACCAGCATAGATAAAACACTGATGATGACCTCAATATTAATAGCAATTGGTTATTTGTTGGGGCTGCATAGTGGAGCAGTGGGTAGCACTGCCGCCTTGCAGCAAGTAGGTTCCGGGTTTGTTTCCTGGGGTCTTTCTACAGTTTGCATGTTCTCCCTGAGCATGTGTGGGTTCTAGCCGGCTTCCTCACACAGTCCAAAAGCTTTATTTGCTTCTCGAAAATTGCGTGAATAGTTTTTTGTCTCTGTGTTGTCCTGTGATGGACTGGCGACCTGTGCAGGGTGTACCCGGCCTCTCGCCTGTAGACAGCTGGAGATAGGCACCAACACCCCTCGCGATCCCGCTCGGGATAAGAGTGACAAAATATTTAGCAAAAAGCAATAATATTTTAAGGGCTTTCCTTAAAACAAACAAACAGACAGACATATTTTATTTTTAAAGGACCGTACTTACTGCATGAGAACATGGACTAATTATCATTTCCTTTTGTTTTATGTCTGATCAAATGATACTCTCTTGATGAACCAGAATGAAGTGGAAATTTAGTTTTAATCTCACAAGTGGTACAAAAACTCCTTAAACTGATGAAACAAAAATGTTAAGCCAATAATGTTGTTGAGATCTGCAACATCTGAGTATAAAGACTTAAAAAAATGTAGAACATTTAATTTAAAATGTAGAACATAAAAAAAAAAAAAAGATAAATCTCCCAAGACTCCTTAGATAGATTAATGTTTTCTCACACATCCACATCTTTTGCATTTGCTCCCCAAATTTTGGGAACATTTTTATTTATCAATTCTGTTGTGCAGGTAAAAACAGTAAAATTCATAGAGAAAAAAAATACGCTTCCTTTCTCTCACAATCAGCGACATTCATATGTCTCTAATCTATGAGGAATTTGAATAAAAACAGCTCCATGACCCTAGACGTCTCCTCAGCATAACATATTGAATTTTTGGATTTTGTCAAAGACAGAAGCAGTGTTGGGCAAGCTACTTGTCCAGTGTAGTGAGCTAAGCTATCAGTTACTCAACAATAAACTAAGCTTCACTACACAAAAGCTACCACCTAAAGAATTATAGCAAGCTAAGTTACACTAATGTGTTAAAAGTAGCTTAACTACATCAGAAGCTACTTAACATTGTACCAACCTAATATCAATTCAAAATTAGTCTGATGCACTGGTTAAAATATTTATTAAAGATAACCCAATGACATAACACAGTGTAAAAATTGCTTTATGATCAGCATAATAACAAAAACTAAAGTAATTACTAGTAGACAAAAAAATAAACAATCTACTGTTATTATAAATAGAAAACCTGGTTTCATTACTTAGTTTGCCCTGGATTTTGTAGCGTTTGTGGATGCTACGTCGCTACTTGATAAAAACAATAACGTCACTACTGGAAAGTTACGTGATAAATAAAGCAGCGACGCTACGGTCAAGCTACTGGAAAATGTAGTTAAACTAATAGCTTCGCTACATGTAGCGGCACTACTGCCCATCACTGGACAGAAGACACTCACAAGATCTTTGCCTTGTGAGTGTCTTCTAGATAGAAGACACACACAAGGCAAAGATCTCTGTTGCAAGCGACAAACTATATGTATTTTTTAATTCTGTGTCCAAATGCATGTTTACAAGTAGTCCAACAATTTCTGTTATTGCTTTAATTGCTCAGATTATAACCCCCATAACTGTTAATTAATAATTAATAATAAATTATTTTACAACAGTCTATAAGCTTGCAGCCTTACTGGTAGCTAAAGTCAGGTTTTCTTCCTTAACTTAGGCTTTTTTAGTCAGAGTTTCATCATTGTACAATAAACAATTAAATAATCATTCACAAAAAAATTATAGATCATCCTACACACTTATTGGCACAGTTTTTGATAAAGATGTTTCATTCCATGCATTTTCTTCTGCTTATCCGGGGCCGGGTCACGGAGGCAACAGTCTTCCCGATCCACACACACTCCCTCCAGCTGCTCTGGGTGGACCCTGTGACAACACCAGGTCAGCTCACAGACATAGTCCTTCCAGCTTGTTCTGGGCCTTCCACAAGGCCTCCTCCCAATGGGACATGCCTGGAAGACCTCCCGAGAGAGGCGATCCAGGAGGCATCTGAAACAGATACCCAAGCCACCTCAGCTGGCTCCTTTTGATGTGGAGGAGCCACGACTTTACTCCTAGCTCCTCCCGGGTAACTGAGCTCCTCACCCGATCTCGAAGGGTGCACCCAGCCACCCTGCAAGGAAACTAATTTCGGCCGCTTGTATTTGCGATCTTGTCCTTTCGGTCATTACCCAGATCTCATGCCCATAGGTGAGGGTGGGAATGTAGATCGATTGGTAAATCGAGAGCTTTGCCCTCCGACTCAGCTCCCTCTTCACCATGACAGTCCAATACAGCGACAGAATCACTGCCGACGTAGCACCAATCTGTCTATCAATCTCACGCTTCATCTTTCCATCACTCGTGAACAAGACCCAAGATACTTGAACTCCTCCACTTGAGACAAGGACTCTCCATGAACCTGAAGAGGGGAGTCTACCTTTCTCAGGTGGAGAACCATGGCCTCAGATTTGGAGGTGCTGAACCTCATCCCAGCTGCTTCACACTCGGCTGCAAACTGCCCCAGTGCATGTCGGAGGTGCTGGTTTGATGAGGCCAACAGTAAAACATCATCTGCAAACAGCAGAAATTATATCCTGAGGTTCCAAAACCGGACACCCTCGGTCCCTTGCTGCGCCTACAAATTCAGTCCATAAATGTAATGAACAGAACTGGTGACAAAGGGCAGCCCTGGCAGGGAACAACATTCACCGGGAACTGGTCTGATTGGTGATCCAAGCTCCTGCTGCAGTCATACAGAGAGCGGACAGTCCTTAACAGAAGCCCCCGGACCCCATACCCCTAGAGCACCCCCACAAGGCACCACTAGGAACATGGTCCAAAGCCTTCTCCAGGTGGATGAGATTCGTCCTGAGTACCTTAAGTCTCTGGATGTTGTAGGACTGTCTTGGCTGACACTCTGCAGTATAAAGATGTTTCCTTAAAACAACTTAATCTATAATCTGAATTGCATATTGTACATTGTGCATAAATATGACCTTGAAAAGGTGTCCGTTAATCGTAGATACTCTTCAAAATAGAAAGAGACGACAAAGTGAGTTAATTGAAGCAGTGTGTGCAGATATTTATCAGTCAAGTATCAGCTAAAAGAAAGAAAGCTCCTTGCCTTAACTTGAAAGTGTTTATTGTGAGAGAAATAATCATTTCAAACCACCAAAGGCTGGAGTTAATGTAATTTAAGACGGAGAAGATAACTATCATCATGAATAAACTGGCATAGTAAAATATCAGTTAAAGATTTCATCACTTTCTTTTAGCTTTCTTTTGGTCAGCAACTGCCTAAAAAGAAACAACTGTAATTAAATTCTCCAACAGCTCATTACAATTAAAATGCTTGCAAAACCTGCAAAGTTACTTATTTCAGGTGCAAACATGGCCATTTGATCTGGCTTTTATAGGCCAACTAATCCACCTCCAGAAGGTTTTGCCAACAGCCTATATTACTCAGCTAAATGATTTAGGCAATATGGTTACAATTTAAAATACTTAAAAGCTCCATATTTAAATATAATTAAATCAAGACGTTTTGGGTAACTACTTTTTTTCTGGGGCCAGTGAGAGATAAAACTGTTGTGCAAAAGTAGCTCTGGATGTAAATTTTGGCTAGCTGTGCTTTTTAAAAGAATATTCCGATTTGGAAAAATGCCTTGAGAATCCATCGGTCTTCACTCCCTGTACACGTCCCAGTTCATCTGACCACACACACACACACACACACACACACACAAAAACATGCATCAGCATGAGTCTGTCTGGAGGCGGCACAGAGAGAGTTGTGGGTTTGGGAGTGTGGGGGGGGGCTTAGAGGGAGGAGACATGAAAAGTTGCAACTCCAATGTTACATGTGCCACATGCTAAGGAAAGGAATGTCTTTGTGAAGAGAGTTAAAAATCCTAAGAAGAGTGAAAGGAGGAGGAAGAGGAGGAGTGAAGATACGCAGTGGGAGGGCACTTATCCAAGACTGCAGCGTGGCTCTGTGTAGAAATGAAAGAACCTCTCTCACACTTTTTTTGCTGTCTCTCTCTGTGCATGGCTTTGACCCACTGCAGCAAGGGAGCACATCCAGAGCAAACACAGGGAAAGTCTCAAGTTGGCCTGCTTGGTCTGATGTAAATATTTTTCCTGAAGTCGTGGATGAAGGTGAAACTCTACCTTTAAAGGTTCCCTGAAGCTGTGTACCATTTTTGAGGATTCTGATTTACTCTGTGGTTTCAGTGTATAAAAACTGACTCTCAATTTAAGTTTTTGCATTACTTTCTTTCTCTTGGGAATTTTTCTTGTGATCTGCAGGTGCTTTTACTGTATGGACAGAACCAAAAAGACTTCAGGATAATAATAATCCACTGGATGGAAGTCAAAGTAAGAATATGATATTTGCGATGCATAGGGAAAATTGTATGCGAGTGTTTTATAACTTGATGATGTAACCCATCATTTGAGCTCTGAATGTCTCTCTCTCTCAACTTTGCAGACAGGTGTGATGCTGGGCTAGTGTGTGATACACTCTCATGCTTCTAGAGATCAGCAGTGTTTTGTAAGTTTGCACTCCTTATGAATTACTATAAAATTAGTTTTACATTTATTAATACTGACCTTTTGTATGTTTTTTAAAATTTAAATGTTGAAACATGTGCAGAGTGTTAATTCAACCCTTCAGGTTAATTTCTTAACTGTTAATGTCTTTTTGTGTGGCCAAAGACTGCTAGAATAAATGGTAACACTATATATATATATATATATATATATATATATATATATATATATATATATATATATATATATATATATATTTTTTTTTTTTTTTTTCTTTTTTCTTTTTACATTAGACAAAATAAGCTAGAGCTTCCAGAGGGGGAAGCAGTGCTTTACTCACACTGTTTACAGTGGGGGTGGGGGCCTTATAGCTTCAACTGAGGATATTGCCAGAAGGTGGAAGGAATACTTTGTTTCTCCTCAACATGCCATGCCTTTCCTGGCAGATGGAGACAATGGATGTTTGCAATTGGACATGTTCATCACCCAGGCTGGTGACTCAGAAAGCTCTCCAGTGGCAAGGCCTCGGGGGTGGATGACATTCGCCTTGTGTATCTCAGGTCTCAGGATATTTTTGGGCTGTTGTGGTTAAAAAGCCTCTACAATGCTCCAATCCAATGGGGACAATGCTCCTGGACTAGCAGATTGGGGGGCTGATCACCATACCCAAGGAGGTAGACCGCCCAAGAGGAGATTCCAGCTGATTATTTTCACGATGAGCCGCATGATTTTTGTCCTGGTCATTGAAGACTAGACTAGCTCTGTACCCCATCCAGGATGTTCAAGGGTTCTCGGGATTTCCCTAACCCGTCCACATGTACTTCCTGGACCTGCAGAAGGCACCCAACTCTATTCCTCATGGTACACTGTACGAGGCGCTCCAGGAGTATGGAGTCTGGGATGTTTACCAGGTGTAAGCCTGTGTCTGTACAAATGGAGTAGAAGTCAGATTTATATTGTTTGGGTGTTGGACCTTTTCCAGATGTATATTGAGCTGCAGCAAGGCTGCTCTCTGTCACTGGTCTTGTTCATAACTTTCATAAATAGGACATCTAGGTTCTGGTTTGGGGACCAGCAGATTAAGTCAATACGGTTCTGCTGACTCGCTCCAGCCAAGACGCAGCATGCCCGGGGGTGGTTTGCATTTGAGTGCGAAGCAGCCAGGATGAAAATCAGCTCTCCGAAGTCTAAATCCATGGTTCTGGACCGGAAAAGGGTGGCTTTCCCCTCTTCAAAGTTGAAGGGGAGTCCTGCCTCAAGTAGGAGTTCAAGTATCTTCAGATTGTGTTTATTAGTGGGGAAAGAACTGTGTGGCTGCTACTGTATTGCAAGCACTGCACCAATCTGATATACTGTAATGAAGTGAGAGCAGAGACTAAAGGTGTTGATTTACTGGTTGTTCAACATATCTGTCCTTACTCATGATCATGAATTTAGGGTAATAAATAAAGGATTCGAGATATGAACGACTAAAATGAGCTGCCTCTGCTGGATGGCTGAGCTCTCATTTAGAAAAGGGATAGGGTGAGGAATGTGGCCCTCCGTAGGAGGCTTGAAGTAGAGCCACTTAACTTCCCATCCTCCAATGAAGAGAAGTCAATCAAAGTGGCTTGGTTATCTTTTTCGGATGTCCCCTGGATGAGTCCTTCGTCAGGTGTTCCTGGTGGGATGTGCCTGGAGCGCCACCAGAGGGAGGCTGCACATAGAGCCTCTGGGGGTTCTCCCAGAGGAGCCGGAGGATTTGTCTAGAGAGGGAAATATGGGTGTCTCTACTTAGACTGGTATCCCATTCCTAGATGATGTGGAAAATGACAAGCTTAACTAAAAGTTCAACTCAAAATAAAAATGAAAAATGCTGTTTTAAATTGTTACTTAGTACAGAAAACAAAAAACACAGCAGTAATCCAAATCAGGCCAGGCCTTTATGAAATGCTAATTGCGCCCGAAAACCTAAAGGTCTATTACCAGTAACAAATACCATCAAACGTTTGTTGTAGCTGGTAAAGTGTATTCTATGTCACTATGAAGTCATTTTGGCCATGCTAGAAAATTTGGAATTTCTCTTATGGATAAATTGTCTGATTCAAGTCATGGTACATCATCCCATAAAGACTTAAGTCTGTGCTTTGACTACTCCACTCAATGGGGTTACTTTATTTTGAATCTTAAGAGGCATATGGAGAGAATAATTTGCTGTTGTGCTTTGGGTCAATGTCCTGCATAATATTTGTGCTGGAAGTTAAGGAACAATTATCTTACACTATTTTCTGGAGCAGACTATAATTAATGGTTACAATGGTAACAGTAGACCATCTGGATTGTATTTGCCTTACAACTTGTCAATATATTATATTTATATATGTTTTTGACTACTTTACTTAGTTAGTTTTCCCATAACAGAATGTACACCTTCTGAAAATCTCCATTTTCCTCTGAATATTTTCCCATATATTTCTTGGGGATGATCATATGGCCAATGTAAGGCTGAATTTTGTGATGACTTTTTTTCAGCAATTATTGACTAATGACACAAACTTACTTGACACAAATAAGGCCTACACCCATTTAGATGTTACCCTGGGTCTTTGGTGACTTCCTATATGAGTAGTAAATGTGCTCTTGCAGCAGTTATGGTTGCCTTGGCACTCCAGTTAAGGTTTTCCACCACTTCACATTTTCCTCATAATTGCTCAAACTGTCTTTCACGGCACTATGAAAGCTTCAAAATTGCTTCATAACCCTTTCTAAATATATGAATATCTATCATCTCTTAATTCTGATATCTTGAATTTCTTTAATCCGAGTATGATTTATTTATGAGACCATTTGTGTTTATTTGATTTGTAGATTTTATAGGTCAGGCCATACCCTTACCTAGTTGTGGTCAATAATTTAATGTAAAGTTTTTGTAAAAAACTCACTGGAGGAAATCTGTAAGAGGATAAAATACTTAAAGCTCTGGTATAGATTTGCTATTTTGTTGAACAATTTGCGATCAATTTCTTTGGCTACGATATATTTCTGTATGTGAAATATGTATATATTGGAAATGTAATAACTCTGCATATGCTTAGAATTCCTCAATATCAAATTAAGTCTCAGATATTGCAACGGATAAGGAAAAATCTTGTATTTTGTGTTCAATTATGGTTACTTTAAGTTAACTAATAGCCAATTTTGTTTGTGGGTTCACTTGAACAAAAAACTAGAGCAACGTAACTTTCATAATCCGTATTAGATTTCAAGGCTCTCTCTGGAAAAGATATTAAAATAAATATGGTCTAACACTGCATTTCTTATCTTTGTCCCATAGAGCCTGCTGGAGACTGGTGATTTTTCATAGAAAGGCTGCATTGGTTGTTTTTCTTTTATTCTGGGAAGAGAACAGCCTATCCTGAACAGAGGAACAGCATGACCCGGCATCATAGTGATCTTGTCCATCAGAAGATCTTGCAGCATGCAATATTCCCTAAACTACTTCCCTTCATTCTGTTGTTGCTCCCTCAGGCCTGGAAGGGTCACTGTCACCCCCAGTGCTTGGATTACAAACCTCCATTTGAGCCTCAGCAGCAACTGGTCTTTTGCAAAGATTATACCAAATTTGGATGCTGTGATCTGCAGAACGATGAGGAGATATCAAGAAAGTTCCATTCAATTATGAAAAACTTTGACAGTTTGGGTTCCAAAACATGTGGTGAATACATACGCAGCATCCTTTGCCAGGTAAAAGAAAACCTTTATGTATCTTGCAGTTATTTTTGCATTGTCTTTTATGAATGATATGTAATACTTTTAGATATCTGCGGTTCTTGTGTTCCCCTAATTTGTGACTTCTGCTTATAGAAATGCCAGAAATGTTGAACATCTCCTTTGAAGTCTGGTGGATGTCTTAAGGCATGCACAGCTTAACATTTTTTTTCAAATTTATAACATCTGTCTCTTGATCTACACATTTGAATTTTGGGGGCTTACATAATTATACTTACAAGGCTTAAAAATTCTGGTTTGCAAAATGTATTATCTTAAGTAACCATTATGTGTTACAGAGCAATTTCTCACTGTGTTGATATCGAAATGATATTTTCATAATTTTCTTGTAGCTTTAACTCAGAAATAATCTTTTCTACAAGCTGAATTCTTGCAGTATTTGTGTATCCACAAACACTGAGTCCTCAGTCTGAATACTTGAAATCTGTAATGACACTGTGTCCACCATCACCATAAAAAATTATATCTGTATGTTTGGAAGGAGCTAATAGGGAGCAATATGCTTTTTAATGTCAATTATTTTGCATAGGGACCTCCTGACGTCACAAGCCACTTCAACACAGTTGTCCAAAAATCCTTTAAGGGACAGGTTTTAGAAGCACAGCCCGCCTCACAGAGTTTAAAACAAAAATACATGATTTATGTCATGTATTGTGTGTGACAAATGTTAACGTCCTCTGTTGAATATGTTTTGGCTTAATGGAGAACTTCATACATTGACTACATTTGTGTAACTTCTGTTTTTTGTAGTTCTTTTCCGGAAGGCTGTAGTCCAAATTTGACCAGCATCATTCATGTTGATGTCAGCAGAGTAATGACGTCCGTAAGGCTGAAGGCTGTCTGGACTCAGTACAGCAGGCCAGATAAGGTTCTGGTTGTTGATCCAGTGAAAGGTGAAGGGATAGGAAGGAACAGGAGCTTGTACCATTCAACCTTTAACCATTTAAGACCAACCCAAAATGGGTTCAGTTAAGATTGGATAGCTGTGATGAAAGCAACCATTGCTGAAAGCCAAACCAAAATAGACATGGCAGCGCAGGAGGACACATATGTAGCTGCTACTTACATTTGTTTTGTCACAATCCACAATTTTAAAAAAAGGAACAAGACTGCAAAAGAAATATGGGAGCTATAGATATTATATCTAAATTGCTCTTCATGAAGGATGCTTTCATTCCCGTGTTTTTTATTTTCTCACCCTTTCTGCCATGCTCCTTTTTGGAGCATCATTTCATCTTCCAAAAACTGTGAATTATGAATGTGGACAGCTGGTCTCTCAATATTGCCTCATCATGTGTCCTGCATCATGTTGTATACAGGGGAAAAACAAGGGGCGATTAGCCTCTCTCAAGCATCCCCTGACCAGGAATTGAAAGGTCGGGAGAAAATCAAACATTCTGAAATTCAGTCGGCCCTTGTGAGGTTTTCCTGAGCAAATCCTGCTGTTAAAGCTGAGCTATGAGCGTCTATGAGACCATTTACCTGAACCTCGCGCACCGTGTATGTTCAAACAAGGGAATACTTCTTCTCCCAGATTGACAAGTCCTACTAGTGCCATCTCTTGGCCTTGAGGCGAACATGTTATTTTGGACGTACAGTGTGACCAGTTAGATTACATCAGAGCATAGAGCCGTAAAGTGTAAGAACATACATTGTGACCTACGAACTTTCATCGCACAGTTTGAGGTGTAGCTGTTGAACGAAATTTTAAATATCATGCAGTATATGCCCACTACATTAAGGCTGTCGGAAAATTCCTCAGTTAGCCTGATTCAAAAAATCTCTCTCTATCTGAAATCTGGCTCCCCCTGTATGGCTTTCAGACAGGATCTATTCAACTCCTCCTGGATATTATGTAAACCTGATGCCCTGCTCCCTCTGCCCCCCTTCCCTGAATATATCTGTGCAACTGTTCAATCTGCGTCCGGTTTACGAACATTACATAATACTTTCAAAGACAATGGTTCTAACAACAGTGCTTTAGGACTTATACTGTGATCACAAGCTCACAGATATAAATATATGAACCCCCATACCGTCTTCACTGTTCCACCCGCAAGATGTTGTTTTTTGTTTGGGTTACTTCGTGTGCTGAGGTTTTCTGCAATTTCAGACTGAATGCTGTGAATGATATAATGAAATATAATTTTTTCCCTCCTCCTAGCCATTGTGATCTTTTTCTCTTTTTTTAACTGTAAGAGTTTCACGGAAGCATGGCCTCAGACACTACGTCCCCCTACTCTATGTCTCTGTTTTTGTTTTCTTGGAAGGGCTCTACCAAAACTGAATTTCCCTTTTGACATTTCCAAATTATTTTTGAATTGTTTTTTAATTGAATTGGAGGATGAAAAAAGTTTTTTTTGTGGGAAAAGATAAATACTTATGGCCATCATATAAAGTCCTTTTCTAAAAAGCTCACACATAGTGCTAAATGGGAGTGACTTTTTGCAACATGAAAACAGCACAGTTGCATCACAGAGGTATCACAGTCAGTGTGAGACCTGTGTAAGCCCTCTGGGTACTTAGTCTGGATTTCTCCCACAGTCCAAAAACAAAACTGTGAATTGGCGTCTCCAAATTGTCTTTAGGTGTGAATGTGGGAGGGTGTGTATGGTAATGTCTCTGTGTTGCCCTGCAAAGGAATAGTGACCTGTCCAGGATTTACCCCGCATTTTGTCCATGGACTGCTGGAGATAGGCACTGGCCCCACAGGGACCCTTACAGATAAAGTAAGAGAAGATGGATGGATGGATGTTTTTTGTATCTTTGGCCTTGTAAGTGACGTAGTATGTCACTTTAGAAAAAATAAATAAAACTGTTTAAACAATGTGCAACACCTACTGCACTTATAGTACTTGCATGCTTATTACAGTAATGACTCACACAGTCACAGCCCAGAAATGTACCTCTAAATTTAGAGGTTATTATGACAATCTTATTGCTGCCATAGACTTTGTTTGGAAAATTGTTTCATCTACTGAGAATTTCTATTTCAGTATGTTTTACTTTCCCTAATCTGAAAAAAAAATCCAAGCACTAAAGCCCAACCTCTCTATCTCTGAATGAACCTTAAAGTCTGTTCCACTCCCTGATTATATAATTGCGTGCTTACTTCGCAGCCCAAAGAATAAATACAGCAGCCTGTGTGGAAACTGAGTGATAGGTGCAGCACTAATTTGGTATAGTCCTTATAGTTAAACTTACGGTAATAGACTAATAGATTTCCCTTAAATATTAAAAGTAGAAAAAAACAAAATCATTCAAAGCTTTGTTTTCTATTGGCACCCATAAAGCCATTCTAAATACACATCTTTCCTGAAGTATAATACATCATACTCTATGTAAGGGCAGTGACAAATCACTAAATCCTAAAGTATAGGTTCTCTCATTGGTAATTATAGCCCACAACAGTTTTTTTTTTTCTCCATGCAGTGCAGGTTTGGTTATGTGTGTAGTAAGTTGTGCAAAGTGTCTTCAACTTCACTTGAAATCTACTCTTAGGTCTTACTCTTTGCTGAGATCTGAGCAACGTAACTATATGAGGTTAAGAAGTTCTTTAATTTAAGAATAGGGTTACCAAACTCCCTTTGGAAATCGGTTAATTAGAAGAGTTTTGTGTGACTAGCGGAAAAAAAAATCACTGAAAGATCTTTCTTTAAATTTGATCTAACCTTCAAGACATTGTTTTTCAGGCTTTGTTTGGATATTTTTAAAAATGTATTTGAAATCATCATTATCTTTGACAATTTGAGATAAAAAGAAAGCCATAAAGGGGGTCAAGGTACCTAACTGACCTGAGACTTTTGGCTAAGCCTATTATACAGAGGTTCCCTGTTTAAGACAGGAGAAAAATGGCACTGATCCATCCCAGAATAAGAAGGGAAGAGATTGAGAAAAATGTTGGATCTCGTTAAGAAAATAGAAGAGAGTCAGGGAAAGGTAACTGAGTTTGCCTGACCAAACAACAATATTTCAGCTAGTCCTTCACTCAGCGACCAGGAAGATGGAAGTCCAGCTTGGATAACTCAGGTTGCATGAACCTCTCCATGAGGAGAAAGCATGAAGCGTAGGTGGAGAGGAATAACTCCCCTTTCGGAAAAGACCTCTTGCAGAACCAGGCTCAACATGGCGGTCTTCGCCGGACCAATTAAGATAAGACAGGGAAGGCAGTAAGAGGCCGGAGGAATGACACTCTGATGAAGCTTTAGCTACGAAGGTGGAGGAGGGGCTGGAGGTGGGTTGAATAGGGGTCCTCTGAATCAAAGTCAGACATACAGTAGCACAACCACTGCCCGCGCTTTGGGTAACAGAGTTAGTTGTAGATTAGAAACCTTTTAAAATGAACTCTGGATGCTGATTGGGCTTTCCTGGAGGCGTGGTTCTAAAGGTTTCTGAAGTCATACATGTAAACAACCTAATCAATTGCTGTCAAAAATTAGTAGTTGCTTTTTTCAGAGATTCACTAGTCCAAATTGTGTGGCCAGTTTCCACACGCTTTTATGAAGATTCAGAATGCTGGTAACTATCTTTGCAGATTTGGATCTGCCATTTAAAAACGTATATATAACAGCCTTACACTTCATGAAAGGAGTTGTGGTAAAACAGGTATTTACTTTTTTGAAAGATAAAATTAATACAGAAGTGCACACAGTATACCTAGCAATAGCAAAATGTATATATATATATATATATATATATATATATATATATATATATATATATATATATATACATATATACATATATATATATATATATATATATATATATATATATATATATATATATATATATATATATATATATATATAAATAAAATAAATATCAGTGTGTAGAATCCTGATAATCTCTATTTGTTCTGGTTTAATTTGTGGGGCACAGAGACAGTAGTGAAAAACAAATACGCACAGATCAGGACCTGCTACCCTATGTGTTGTAGGAGCATTGGAGATTAAAATGTTAGATGTAACCAGTGTGACCTAGGCTTTGCAATGTTTTATCACATATGGTGTGAAGAAACACAAAAGAAGTAACATGTCTAGAGTTGCCCTTATCTTTCCTAACAAAGATAAAAAATCCTGCCTCTTTTGCTAAAACATCTTTGTTTTTAGTCTGTCTGGTAGCATGGCATGAAAGCCTGTCAGATGGACATTCTTGACATTTTCTCCTAAATGCTCTATCTTGAGGACCTCATTTGCTCAAACCAAAAAGCCCTTTCAGGGAACTAACAGGTTTTTCAGTGTGGTTTTCAGGTCAGTTTCTAGCCCAGAATGTTGAAGATTTATAATTGTATTTCTAAGGGCAGATTCAGGTGACTGTATGATCCTAGTTCTCCTTGGTGTGCCATTTGCTTTGGGAATTTAAGGAAAGGTCTGAAATCAGTCTCCTCAGCAACACTCTGAAATACTCTGGGCATATCTAAGACATTTGCAGGCCAGAAAAGATACTTAGTCCCTCTAAAATTAGAAGGCCACTTAGGTCACTGATGTTATAGCTTCTGGCATCACCTACAGCAGAAAGCATGTAAATTTCATCTGAAACACCCCATGGTATTTAGTTCGTGCCATTACATGTGTAGAAAACATCATGAGATGGTTAACGGGTGCAACATTGAAAATAAAAAAGACCAACCTTGTCATTTAGAGTTAAGTTGAAAATTACACATTTTCAAATGCACAAATGAACCTGACCCACATTGCCTCTTTGAGTTACTACTCTTGAAGAGTCTTCAGGTTAGCTGTTGCTGGATTTGCCAAGGGTACATTAGACATGCTATGATCTATTTAAAATACCAAAGTATGGCACACATTGCTGACACAATTTTAAAGTCCTTTTGAGTCACTTTTAAAATTCACTGTTTTTGCTTTTTTTGTTTTGTTTATTTTAGTGAGATAAATGATCATCATTTTCTTTTTCTATAATCTTTTTGCAGCTGTAAACACCAGAATAGCCCCATTGTAGGACAATAAACAGATTTTCTATTCTATTCTAATCATTTTATTTTGATGGCGTTTTTACTCCCATGTTCTGTTTTCTTAATGATGTATATTTGATATAGTTTTAGACTTTTTATTTTTTTAATTCTTTTTTTTACATAGTATTGACTGTTTGTCATTTTAAAAGTGCTTTGCAAATTAAGCGGTTTGGCTTGACTAATTAGATACTCAGGAATTATCAAAACATTAATTGTTTAAGCTCCCTACCTAGTACTCTACTTTGCTTACTTCTGGCTTAAATCTAGACTTGTTGTTTATTTTCCATTTTTGGGGCTCTGCCCTCTGTGACACTCTAACACTCATTGAAACTACCCATGTTGACCACATGATGGTTTTGGTCTCGTGCCTCCTTCTGCATCTGCTTACCATTCTGGGTGTGGACAGTGTGGTTGTGACTTAATAACTGAGTGGACCTGTCTAGCATCCATTTATACTGTAGCTCTATATAACCTTGACCGGACCAGTTAAGAGTAAGGCACAGACAAGCTTTGGAAGTGTTTTTTTTTTTACAAAAAACACTAATTGGATTTCGGTATTCATGGAGTTTATCAACTCACTTCTACAAAAAAGAAATACAGGATGAAAAGTTAGTTCAATTCAGCTCAGTTTCCTTCTAATAAATGTTTAAAGCTTACATTCCTACAAACAATCAACAGGTTATTTCCCTTCTTAGGAATGTTCTCCATATGCTGCCCACCTATATGATGCTGAGGATGCCAACACACCAATGAGGGTTCTTCCTGGACTATGTGGAGATTACTGCTCAAGCTATTGGCTGCAGTGCCGGTATACCCTGAGCCTGCTCCTGGAGGACATGGGGAACCCACAACAGTTTGCCAACTGGACAGCCTCAATAGAAGAGGACCGAAATAGGTTCTGTGACTTTCTGGAACTTAAGGACAAACAGTATTGCTACCCAAATGTTTTAACAGATGCTGGTATGGCTTCATGTAACAGTCTTAAAATTAAATGAAGAAACTTTCTAATTAAATAATTAACTAACTAACCTATGTCTCCAGAACTAAATGCAAACCTTGGCTTAGTACGCGAGGATCCTAAAGGCTGTCTGGAGGTCTGCCTGCAGGAAGTTGCCAATGGTCTCCGTAACCCTGTGGCAATGATCCACGCAAATGATGGAAGCCATCGCTTCTTTGTAGCAGAGCAGCTGGGCTACGTCTGGGTGTATTTGGCTAATGGCTCCAGGATTGACCGTCCTTTTCTCAACCTCACCCAGGCTGTGCTCACATCTCCATGGGCTGGAGATGAAAGGGGATTCCTCTGCATAGCCTTGCATCCAAGGTACTTATTTCAAGTTATACCTAAACGTTATGTCCTGAAAAGTATGAATTTGTTTTAAGTTGCCTCAATTTCTAGGTTCACCACAGTCAGAAAAGCCTACGTCTACTACTCAGTGTCTGTCAAGAAGGAGGAGAGAATAAGAATCAGCGAGTTTACCCTCTCAGCACATGATGATAACCAGCTAGACCATTCCTCAGAAAGGTATAAGCCTTGAGTTATACCCACATGCTTTTCTCAGGAACCAGGGCATATTCATCATTTTCATATTTTACCTTATATACAGAACTATCCTGGAGGTTGTGGAGCCAGCATCAAACCACAATGGTGGACAGCTGCTTTTTGGCCATGATGGATATCTCTACATCTTTACTGGAGATGGTGGGCGAGCTGGGGACCCATTTGGAAAGTTTGGCAATTCACAAAACAAGTCAGTGTAATTTAAAAAATATTTTTTTCACCTTTGGTTGCATTTGTAATATCTGAATAGGTGCAGCTGTAGACTTATCTCCATGAGTGGCACTAACTAGATCAGGATATAGATTTATTCAGTTCATATGCAGCTAAATAAATTGGAAAGTTTTGATCAGGAAGAATATTTTCTGAGTCTGAAAGCCGGTATGAAGGGCAAAAAAAAAAGATTTTTTTAGATGAAATCTAAAAAAATAAAGAAGATTGGGATTCTAAAAGGAATAATAAAACAGTCTGGGCATGATTTATGGAAAAACCTTTGCCTCCAATACTAAATCTATCTCAACCTGCTGTATTGTCTTTGTAACAGATCAGCGCTTCTTGGCAAAGTGCTGCGCATTGATGTTGACAACAATGATGAAGGTGTTTCCTACAGCATTCCCTCTGACAATCCTTTTGTAGGGGAACAGGGAGCAAAGCCTGGTAAATCGTTTTAATTCTGTTCAGATCTCTGTTAAAGTAATGAAAATCTAGAATGTTAGATTACATTTTAAGCTTTAGATATGTGGCATCCTATGTTGTGTGGCTCTTATGGTTAGGCTTTTTGTAAACATTTTTTATTTCATCCAGTGTATAAGAAGTGTGTAAATACCCCGCCACTTTCCTGTCTTTGCAGAGATTTATGCCTATGGAGTTCGCAACATGTGGCGATGCTCCATTGACCGTGGCGACCCTGTTACAGGCGCAGGCAGAGGCAGGATGTTTTGTGGTGATGTTGGCCAGAACAAATATGAAGAGATAGACCTCATTGTTAAAGGTGGGAGATGACATTTTTTATACCTTGAAGTCCTTTGTGTAAAATGTGTTCAGATGTTAAAAATAGCCAGTCCCTTTTAATTCAAAAATGACAGAAAAACAGAGCTTTGCTTCATGTAAGAACTATTTTATTTTTAATATCATGTTCTCATAATGCAGCAAGCTTAAGTGTCACCATAAAATTTGTTTCAAACTTAACATAAAAAAAAGTCTTTGTTGTGATGACAACTGCAATCTTCAAGTTAAACTCTCATAAAAAAAGTCTATAAGCCATCTGTATTTATGATTATTTTCTGGATAAAAAAAGTGCAGACTATTTTCAGATGTGTAACCTTTATAATTTATTAGTTAATGAATCAATAAATATCAAAATCTTATATTTCACATTGGAACTTCCAGTTGTATTTAAAGTTCCAATAACTGGATAGTTATTTAAATTCCTTGATATTTTAGATAATAGAAAAGTAAATGCAAGGTTACTTTACCTAGTAGGTTCTTACTTTTGCAGTAGCCGAGTTAGTGTTTTGGAGAAGTATCTGGTACATATAACTATTTCCTTTTTTAAAAGTAACATTCCCAACACTGGTGAGAGAAAGTCAATTTTTTTTAGAATAATTGCATCCGCTCTATAAATAATTGGAAAATTATAAAAAGAAAAAAGAAAAACTTTTGCCCCTGAAACTTAACTCTGTGATCACTTTAATTTAAAGGAGGAAACTATGGTTGGAGGGCCAAAGAAGGATTTAGCTGCTATGATCGCAAACTTTGTCAAAACTCATCTCTTGGTAAGTACTCTACAATTTTTTTTTAGAAAAACATAAAGAACATAACCCAAAAACATTAAAGAAAATAAAAACATTTCTTATATTAATGAGTTATGTGTTTTTCTTTATCTTTTGATTTGTAGATGACATTTTGCCAATCTTTGACTACCCCCATAAACTGGGGAAATCCGTGACAGGTGGATACATCTACAGAGGTTGTGAGATGCCTAACCTAAATGGACTTTACATATTTGGGGATTTCATGAGCGGGTAGATAAAAAAATCATTCTTTTAAATGTTTGAAATAAAAAAAAATATATATTTTGTATATAGATCAGATATGCCTTAGAAATTGCTAGTATCCAAAATAACAATACCATGTTTAATTATAGCAGAGATTATGATTGGTGAGTTATTAAACAAATACATTTTTGAAAACATACATTTCATTAAAAACTTTTTCTGCAGCAAGTATTGATTTCAATATTTAAGGTAGTAATTATTTCTTCTCCAGTTCAGTATTAATGTGAACATTTCTAAATAGATATTTCTAGATCTACTGTAATTGTAGTTAGGGGAACATAGAAAGTTTCCATTTTTGCCAATACAGTCGTAGGAGGCACTGAGTAAAACCTTTGCTTTTTCCATTTGACTTAAGAGAGAAAGCAGCAAATTACTGCGTATTATAGTAAACGTGCTCGGTTAATTAATCATTTGCAGGTATTAGCACCTCCAAGGGTCTGAGGCTCACTGTATGTTCACACAATGTCAGTTTGGAAAGGCATCAAACTATGGCCATAGAAAAGCAATTGCTGATGTCAATCAGCCTTAAAATGCAGGTCCCACATGATTTGTAAGTAATTGTGCATTAAAGATTATTATCAAAAAGTGATAATAATAATTCATGCTGTTCAGTCTATTGAGAGGTTAGCTAAATCAGTGTAAAGTCATAATCTACAGAGCTTAGAGAGAATTATTAAAAACCACCCGAGACAAATTCCTAAGGTTGTCACTAGAAAGGTATCTCTTGTGAAATAAAATGAAATTACAAATAATATGCCAAAACTGCTTTTGAATACACTGAAAAAAATGTAGGAGCTGCATAATTTGGACACATTAGATGGATGTCTACCACCATTTTTTGTTTATAGAAACAGTATTCCTGTCCACTTTGCATTTAATGAGCCATTAACTCTTCTGTGTATCATAGTCTGCTAAAGTAATGGCAGCAGATATACCAAAGAATGGCACAAAAACAAAACAACTAGTTTCTGCAATAGTCCAATCAAAGTCCACACCTTAATTGTCAACATCATAGAACCATGGATTAATAAATTCCCTGATTTTAGTATTGCTGAAGGAATAGAAGAGCAAAACATCCCTGTAATGTGATGGCAGAATGATAAAGATGCATAAAAACTGGAATACCTAACAAACCACCGTTGTAGATGTTTCTAACACCTTGTTGTACTATAGGGAGAACTAACTGTAGTTATTCTAGGCTTCTTTGACAGTCATGAAGACTTATTCTCCTATGATTCTCACTTAATGTCCCTACTTTCATTTTAGGCGTCTAATGTCTTTAAAGGAGAATGAGGCTACCGGTGAATGGCAGTATAATGAGATCTGCATGGGAAGAGACCAGACCTGCAAATTTCCCAAACTCATCAACAGTTATTATAGATACATCATCTCCTTTGCTGAAGATGAAGCAGGTAATGACTGACTGTATCTAACTAGTTTCTCCAGGAGTTTATGGATTTATTTATAATCAGTAAAACACAAATATTGTAAATATAAAGGAAAAAAAAACATTAACTCACACATCTTGTTTTTCTGATGTTTCCTGTTAGTTTCTCTTAATCTTGCCATTTTGTGAGTGCCTGTTTATGCCCTCTTCCCTTTTCTTCGCCAGGAGAGCTGTATTTCTTATCCACAGGAGTCCCGAGTGCCACAGCAAGATCAGGTGTCATCTATAAAATAGTGGATCCTTCCAGGTAACAAAATACAGCATCCACACTTCCATAAAAAATATAGACTTAGATATTATTTACATAAAAATGCTTGAAAATGACGTATGAGCTTGACAAAAAATAAGTCAGAGATGCATTGCTATTTATTACAAGGTTAAAATAATTAAAGAGGTTAAGATTAATATATTTCAAACAGCAACTTTCCTGAAAGGGAAAAGGTCAGGCTTCATATCTCAGAGCTGTCAGGATTTAAAATCTTAAAAATGTTGAGGTGCTGGTGAGGTATTTAAGCTTAAACATTTAAATAAAAAACATCTGGCATTGATAACCTCAGGATGTGATTATTCTGTGTTATATATGTTGTTGATGTTTGACTAAGCAGACAGAGAAATCATAACCGAATTGCATATCAGACTATTAAAGAGCAAGGTGGAAATCAGCGATGGTGACATTATTGTCTTTGTGTTACGGTGCATTACATGGTAAATAATATTTTTTTATTGAAACAGTCATGTATTGGGTACGTTTCTTAATCTCCATGAGGTTAGTGCATCATCACAGCTCAGGACAAATGTTAATTTATTTCCAATAAGAAAAGTATCTGAAGTTATTTATGTCTGTTACTTTTTCCTGAGCTTAAAAAAGTGTTTGTACATTGTATTAGGTTTTAAAAACATATAGGTGTTCCTGATAATAAATATTACATTTAATTCTTAACTCAATTCTAAGTTATTGTTAAATTTTATTAAGTACAATGTAACTTATGACATTAGTTAAATGAAGTGCAGAAAATACACAACTACATACTGTGCCACTATGATCTCTCCCAACTTTTTTTTTTTTTTTTTTTTACTGTCATTACACTGTCACAAGTACAGAACAATGAAATGAACTGTTTGCATTTAACTGATCCCGTGGCGGAGCAGTGGGCTGCCATTGTGAGGCGCCCTGGGAGCATTTTTGGGGTTAAGTTTGCTCAGGGACCCACTGTCTGTAGGAGTGGGGCTCAAACTCAGAACCTCAGGATTCCAAGCTCTATGCCTTAACCACTAGGCTGCCAATACTCAGTGATCCCCACTAATGATAATAATTATGAGTTAGCTCTTATCCTCTTGGCTTCAAATGTGCCTTTTGATTGTGTCAAAAGTCTCCCCCACTCCCCAAAAAAAAAAAAAAAAAACCCAACAACATCTAGACTGGATGCTAATGCAACCAGTGTGGATAAATAGGCACCATTTAAAGACCTACCTAAAATCTGTGGTGCATTTTTTTGCAGAAACATACTTCCCAAATGCTAATCCATTTGCACTATGAATTTATTCATAAAACACACAGTAGCGGTGCCTTGGACAAAGAGTGTATAGATACCATGCAATGACAGTGGCTATAATGACAGTGGTAATACAGCAATTTTAATTGTGTGTGCTCTCCTTTCTGTTTTGTATTTAGTTATCTTAATCCCAGCGTATAAGTTAAAAAATGCCTGCTTTGAGTGTCCTATAAAAGTTAATAATAAAGCTTTTAAAACCTTATAACTCTTGTGTAATATTTTGATTTTTTTTTTTGACCACGCAGACGAGCACCACCAGGAAAATGCCGCATCAAGCCTCTGCCTGTTAAGATAAAGGGAAAACTTATTAATTTCCATCCTAAAGAGGGTAAGAAATAAGCAATGAGAGATAGCTATGTTTCTATGGCCTCATGTGTAGCTTGAAGCTCTTTTAATCAAAATATGACCCAAACTAGTTTCATATATGCTGCTATTAGGTGGTGTAGGTAGCATCTTTGTTAACTCAAAAGGATTAAAATATTACAATTTTGCTTTGTGATATTGAGTCTCACTTTTTAAGGATATTTGTTGGAAAAGTCATATATTTTAATCAAATGTATTTTAAAATTGGCACACATTACTTTACTGAAAAGTGATGTGTCAGGCATGTCAATTAGTTACAAAATATGTCAGGGTTTGTTGCTATGTGTTACGAACTAAGTAATTACAAGTACTAATTGTAACCTAACTTATTATTTATTATCTTCTTATCATATGTAGATATAGAAAATAACATGCATCTGCAGCCCTTTATAGATATTTTTAATCCTGTATGATTTCCTGCTAAAGGCCTTCTCTTTAGAACGGTATCTAACACATAACTTCCCCCTATACTTACCAAATCTGCACAGACTGCTGACCAAATGTAAGATATTTGGACACGCCATGATTTTTAGCATAATTTGAAACGCTCTGAAAAAATGGAAGATGCATCTGACTCTGATTGTTGCATATGGAGAATATAAAAGCTTGTTTTTGTTATTGAGTTGAAGGTTTGTTATATCCTGCTTGCTGTCTGATTTAGAACAATAGTTTACTCTCATGATTAATCACATTTTAATTATACACCTTTGTATGTGATGGAAGTGTAGAAGTCCTTTTATTGTTTATGAAAATCTGATTTTCTTTTTTTGTATTATAACCTCTTTGTTTCTGTTTGCAGAGTTTGTAATCAACAAGAAACCTACCACAACACCTGTTCCAACCACAACCACTCCAAAGACTACAATTCCAAAAAAAAAGACGATTCGAGGACCATTTATTATAAGAAAACCTCCAATGCCAACAAGACAGACGACAAGAAAAGTAGTACGACCCCAGCCAACGACAGAAGGAGAGAAGATGAGAAAAACGACACAACCTACACTAAAAAAACCAACATCAGCCACAAGAGTGAAACCAACTGCTGTTCAGAGGGGCACGGCAATTCTCGTCACAACTCCGTCCACTGGTAGGCCTACTGGTGCACCTGTTTATCATCCTAGCTCCACTGCCTATTTAAATTCTGCCCCAGCTTCTAACACATCTGCTAAATCCGCACGCAGACCATTTCACACTGAGGTACGAGGAAAGGGAACCCGTATAAACACTGGGGCTTTTCTATTCTGTCCTCTGATCTTGCTTCATGGTATGTCATTTTAAAGACACAGCAAATTCTAACTCGTAGGTTTCCCTTAAGTAAGCTTTGATTAGTTTACCGTCTGGTGGGATAACGATTAATTGAAGAACAGTTGCTAGACAACACTGTGGATTCAGTCTACATAATTTCCGGCTTTAGGCTTCCAAAAAACAGATTTTTTTTTTTTAGCTTTTTTTCCTTTGATAAATTATTGTAAAATTATATCAATTTTTACTGTTTAGTATTTGAGACTAAGAATATGCATGCATTTATGAAAGTTACATCTTGATTTTTTTGTTGTTGCTACATTTAGGACCTTTTGTTTAGGTAATAGATTTTGCAGATATTTTTAACAAAAACAAATGACTTTAGACTCAGGCAAAGATCACCTTACTGTGACCTTTTGTTAACTAATGCCCCAGAATCACAGGATACTGATGCCAGACACTACCCAAAGATCGCATTATTATAACCTGTTACAAGTTACCCTAAAGTCACAGGGCACCTTAAGCCACTTTCCCACTGAAAATAGATGATTAACTTGTGTTTTTTAAACATGGTTTGACCCGGGAAAAATCGGCATTTAGCCTTCCTATTGCCAAAAAAGCTGGGTCTAACCCCTCGCTGGCAAGCTGAGTGGGCTCTGCCCATCTGCAGCTGCGTGTCTAGTGACACTATCATGCTGGGTTTGCATTGATAATGTCACCACCATGACAGAAATCAGGAAAGTAAACAATGGAGATCCACATGGAAGGAAGGCAGTGGTCAGTGTGCTCTATTGTTTTGCTCTTTTCTTTTTGCTCTTTTGTCCGTCATTCTCGATGGTGCTGAGCCATGTTTGTCAAATGTAAACAGAGTTGTTTCGGATTGCTAGATCAGAGGCGACTGCCGTGGTGTGCTGACGTCCGTAGGTTTGGCTCAGTGGTATCATGTAAATAAGCGGCTCAACTCAGGTCAGGTGTTCCCACAAAATGCCAATCATAGCCGAGGCAATTTTAAAATGGGTTGTTTGTCGAGTCGTTTGTCCCGGGTAGACAGGGGTCGGTGAGCTGTTCCCACTATCAATGAAAGTCCATTGTTCATGGGTTTAAGAGAGTTTTTCAGGCCAGTGGGAAAGGGGTGTTACTTTCAATCTGTACAGGGCTTCAAACCTAAACTAACCCCCCCTAACCTCTTAATCATATCATCCTTTGTATCAACTCCCATTTCATCACCTGCCCTGAACCCTTTAACTAAAGGCAACTATGGTTGCATAGAGCTCTAACCCTTACTGTTATTCCTACACCATTGCAGACCTCTAGCCTCACCCCCCCAAAAATACTTTGAAAGTTGAATATTTTACCAGCCACCAGAACCATAGACATTAAATTTAAGGTCCTAGGACTACAGTACCAATCCTTCTCTGACCATGAAATATCAAACTCACCCTACTAAGTAGAACATATAAAAAACACAGATCAGACCTTGCATTTACTTAGCACATTTACAGGCAAGAGAATGTAACCAAGAGCCTCTTGGTAAGCATCAAAAGCCTTATATATATTCCCCATTGATCCCCCTGATAATTAATAACCTCCTTTTTCACCCCAATTTAATAACAATTATTTAGATACTTTGGTAAAACTAAACATTATGTCACACCACTTAAGGACACATTCCATTTTACCCCTAAAAGACAGAATAGATGGATTCACAATAACTGTTAGGAAGGGTTCACTACTAAATTCCCCTTCTAGCCCCGCCCACCATTGCTCTTAAAGGAAGCAAAACCTATGCTGTTCAGGACATGCAGTGTCACCGATTATGTCACAGAATCTGGTCATATTTGTTTTCATAGTGAAGGCGAAATGATCTATTTGTGCTACTCTTTGTGGATCTCCCAGCAGCATTATTCCTTTTGCTGGTTATGGTTTAAGGAATTCCACATTTAAATATTGTAAAAATGTTTTTCAAGGTTGGGGACAACCTGTGCAAATCATGACAGGAAAACAAGCTCTTCATTTATGTTTGTACAAATACAAAAAATTTTCTAAATAATTTAGGCCGATCTGAATCAAAATGTTACTCTAAGTGTATCATTCTGTCCAGCTAGATCTTTGTCTGATTGCTGTCTATGCCTGTGTCTCTGCACATCAGGGAGCTTAGTGAGGTAAAAAAAGTAAGGCTAGTACCCCTAAATTTGACAAAAGGATCCAATCAATTGGAAAACGTCCTTCTTAAAAGCAAATAAACTTGATTAAACAAAAAACTACTTATTTTGGCAAATAACACCCCCCTTTTTGTTTTTAGACCACCACCTTGTTTAGACTAAGCCTAGCTTGATTGCAGGGGGGTGTTATTGGCTCAGAGAAATAAAGTGCAAAAAACCTGCAGACATTGATAATTAACTACATGTCAGCTTGTAATATAGATCAAGAGCTAGTGTATATGTCATGTTAAGTGCGAAACTTGAGGAATTTAGAGGGTGGTATGGTACACGAATGTATCTCATCCTCCATCTGCTGAAACTGCATTTCATGACCTTGGCAGAACCTTTGCCATTTACTGTTTTTCTGAACATGTTTCATATTTACACTTTGCACTTTGTTCAATTGGTTAAGAGGTAATCCAGGTATTCATAAGTCTAAATGTTTAAAAAGTAGATTATATTAAATTATTCAAAATAATCACAAGAGCTTTCAGTGTCTCTGTGATGTTGTTGATCTGATTTTTTTTTATATGAATGTGTAATCACACACTAACTTAAAATATACCAGTTGCACAAAGTTCATGAAGAAAAATTAAGTAACCATCAATTCCTGCTTTCATCCTGCTGACATGATTTTCTTTGCTGGTACAAAAGTCTTTGTTGCAGGAAAAAGTCATATTTATATGTCAGATGTTTGCACTACTTTAAATAAGATACTGGGGGCAGCTTTATTTTGAATAAATGTTTCTTCTTCTGCTTCAGCTCGGACAATCATCCTTGTGTGGCTGTGTCTATGCTTTCTGTGTATGGTTGTTTGTAATTACTTCACTCTTAAAACACTGAAATGCCTAATTAGTTTCAACAGGTAAAACTGAAGCTCAGATATCTTCCAATTTGGTTGATTTAAAATAAAAGGGTAGGTAATAATTACCCAACAAATATGTTAGTCAATTTTGTTGTCGTTTTTCACAAATGCTTGGGGCAAGTTGTTGAACAATTACACCAATTATACCACTTTACCTTTTTAACATTGGGGCTGGTTATTTATTCTATTACAATCTGAAGATATACACTCACCGGCCACTTTATTAGGTACACCGGTCCAACTGCTCGTTAACACTTAATTTCCAAGCAGCCAATCACATGGCGGCAACTCAGTGCATTTAGGCATGTAGACATGGTCAAGACAATCTCCTGCAGTTCAAACCGAGCATCAGTATGGGGAAGAAAGGTGATTTGAGTGACTTTGAATGTGGCATGATTGTTGGTGCCAGAAGGGCTGGTCTGAGTATTTCAGAAACTGCTAATCTACTGGGATTTTCACGCACAACCATCTCTAGGGTTTACAGAGAATGGTCCGAAAAAGAAAAAACATCCAGTGAGCGGCAGTTCTGTGGGCGGAAATGCCTTGTTGATGCCAGAGGTCAGAGGAGAATGGCCAGACTGGTTTGAGCTGATAGAAGGGCAACAGTGACTCAAATAACCACCCGTTACAACCAAGGTGGGCAGAAGAGCATCTCTGAACGCACAGTACGTCGAACTCTGAGGCAGATGGGCTACAGCAGCAGAAGACCACACCGGATGCCACTCCTTTCAGCTAAGAACAGGAAACTGAGGCTACAATTTGCACAAGCTCATCGAAATTGGACAATAGAAGATTGGAAAAACGTTGCCTGGTCTGATGAGTCTCGATTTCTGCTGCGACATTCGGATGGTAGGGTCAGAATTTGGCGTCTACAAGATGAAAGCATGGATCCATCCTGCCTTGTATCAACGGTTCAGGCTGGTGGTGGTGGTGTCATGGTGTGGGGAATATTTTCTTGGCACTCTTTGGGCCCCTTGGTACCAATTGAGCATCGTTGCAACGCCACAGCCTACCTGAGTATTATTGCTGACCATGTCCATCCCTTTATGACCACAATGTACCCAACTTCTGATGGCTACTTTCAGCAGGATAATGCGCCATGTCATAAAGCTGGAATCATCTCAGACTGGTTTCTTGAACATGACAATGAGTTCACTGTACTCAAATGGCCTCCACAGTCACCAGATCTCAATCCAATAGAGCATCTTTGGGATGTGGTGGAACGGGAGATTCACATCATGGATGTGCAGCTGACAAATCTGCAGCAACTGTGTGATGCCATCATGTCAATATGGACCAAACTCCCTGAGGAATGCTTCCAGCACCTTGTTGAATCTATGCCAAGAAGAATTGAGGCAGTTCTGAAGGGGGTCCAACCCGTTACTAGCACGGGGTACCTAATAAAGTGGCCGGTGAGTGTATAAGATACCATATTACTTATAAGTAATTGCTGAAACACCATAATAAAGAAAAATACCTCATAATCAATCATAACATTTTAAACATATTTAGCTGATACATCTATAAATCATCAATAAAAAACTACATGCATAGTTTATTAAAGAATTAAAGAATAAACTTAACTTTGTTTTTCTCATAAATTATCTACATAATATGGTTTCTTGGAATACATCATAAAGGTACTCAGAATACCATTGCTGCAGTGCATCTACAAAAAAAAAAAAAAATTACATTTGACTTCTGGACTTTACAAGGATAAATTAGGACTATCGACAATGTAAAAAAAGAAAGCTAACAGAAACAATACAATTCTGAGAAAATGTTGCGGTTAATGTCACATTCAGTATAAGCATTTGCAGACAGACAGTTGGATTTCTCAATGTTTATGGAGTAGACGGATTTGCAGGGAACAGTGGGGGCGTCTTAGGCAGGAACTTCTGCTGGGAGAGAACACAGGTTAGTGACCACGTCTATTTGGAGGAGGATGATTATGAACTTTTGACTCACTAACCTGGTCTTAAAGTTCAGTCTGTGCCCAATGGACGCAGTTGTTTCCAGGCAGTCGGCTGCTGACAAGACACGGCGATCTCCACCCAGAAAGTCCCAGATGTTGAAGTCCCGGAGGCCGGAGAACAGACAGGAGATCAGAACCAAGCAGAAGAGGGAAGGCAGGATAATAACCCAGACTTTTAATTCCAGGAGGCTGGAGAACAGACAGGAGATCAGAACCAAGAAGACGAGGGAAGGAAGGATAATACAGAGGGCGGAACCAAAGGATTTCAGGCCAGGATCAGGGATCCGAAGAAGTACTGAAGGCAAATCCAGGACGGTGTCAGGACTCAGTTCTAGGGTTGTAAACGGGCAGAATCCAGCAGGAGTCTGAAGACAGGTCAGGCAAACAGATCAGAATGATACCAGGTAGGCTCAGAGGTCCAGAGGCAGAATGGTTGAGGATGAGGCAATCAGAGACAACTAGATATGCTTGAAAACTCTCACCAAGGGCTTGAATAATCTGGCACCGATGACTGGTAAAAGGCTGGTTAAATAGAGGCTTGAACAGGTGGATCCGATGAACGGTAATGAGAAGCTGGGTGGAGCTAGGCAGGTGAAGGACGTGAGTAATCAGGCCAGTCATCGGCACCAAGATATGATAGCATTATTTAAATTATTGTAAACTCATGAAGTTAGAGTACAAAGGTCCATTTATCTATGTACTCTCCTAGAATAAATCTTTTTTGTCTTTGTGCTATAACAACGAAGTTCAAAGTGGCATCAATCAATGCTACAAAAAAACATATAGATAAAAACTCTAGTATCTAAAACATATAGACATAATTTATGGTTTGTTTTGAGGACATTAGGTATTGTTAGAGCAGTAGGATAAAAACAACCAGTTTTAGAAATTTCCTTTGAGTAACAGTGCTTCTGGTATACCATTTACAGATGCTCCCTATGGAGCACTTGTAAAAAGACACAAGCAGTTTTATTTGATATTGTTCCTCCCCAGAATCCTCAGGAAGTACAATCTTTTCTGGGCCTTTTTTTATCAGCCCAAGGGTGTTGAAGTACCATGTGATGCCCTGCATAATGAGGACCCCCAGGAAACAAAATCAGCTACCTTCTTCACACAGTCTCACCTGATGGTTAATGGTGTACATTTCTTTATTCATGTATTCTATTATGAGCTCATTTGTCTTTGAGGTGTTGGGGAGCAGATTGTACTCTCTGCACCGACCTGACAGCTTCTACATCTGTCGTCCTTTCCAGATAGACTGTATAAACTGGTCCTTTATGCTGTTGTGCAAATTTTAAATTTTTTAATGTAAACATTTTTGATTCCTAGAATATTTTTGCCTGAACAAGTGCTGACTACTTTTGGTCGGAGGGTGGCTACTGCAGTTGAATTTTCTTATTAATTAAAAGATGTACAGCTAGGTTGATTTCTACATTGTCTTGGACAGGGGTGGGTAATTCCAGTTCCTGAGGGCCAATATCCTGAAGGTTTTACATCCTTCCTTTATCAAACACACCTGAAGCAAATGGCTGTTACCTCCTCAGTATGCAGTCAGTTTCTCACAAGTCCTCTCAATCAACTAAATACTTGATTCAGGTGTGTTGAAGCAAAGGCACATCTAAAAGTTGAAGGATACCGGCCCTCAGGAACTGGAATTGCCCACCCTTGGTCTTGGATGTACTGAGATATACCTCTGTGGCAGGTCAGGAGTTTGAATTGTTCAGCATCCCCTGTAATTTGTTTTCATCTTGACCAAACCACCACTTGACTCCCTCTGCTTGTCCCACACACCTGGCTCAACTTTACACTCTCTTAGTACTGCAAACTTTGGATAGAAGATTTTAAAATGATTTGGGTTTTTGGTATTACCGGTACATCGAGTTTAGTTGCACTAATCTACTTGTGTACGAGTCATCCCACCGAATCTACGTCACCTGCTTGTTTTAAGTTCCCATAAGGGATTATTTTAAATATATTTTTAAAAATTGAATCAACTAGCATGCAGTCTTTTAGGTAAGATCTTATTTTTAATCGCTAAATATTTGCAAGCTTTATCACAAGATTTAATGATCTCCAAATAAAGAGGGTGATTCTGTCTCTCCCTCAGGTTATCGTGCAACCATCATGACTCCAGTCCACTCTAGGATTTCTCAAACATCAATCAACTCGACAAAAAGTAACTGGAGACCTCCTCCATTCCTCAGTACCACTTCCTCACCTCTAAACTCCCCAGCAAAGTTCCCCTGTTCAACTCCATTTTTTACTATGAAAAGGCCTCAGAGTGCTTTGTCGACAACAGCTTGGACACCTTACACAAGCCCAAAACCCAGCAAGCCCCATAAGACACTAGTCAGCACTGTATTACCGAAAGTCCCGGATGAGATATTGTGGACTGAAGAGAAGCAGCAAAATGCTGGAGAGAGCAACCAAGTCAACAAGCGGCCAAGAGGTAGAGGACGTGGTCGCAAAAGAGGAAGAGGGGGAAAAAGGCTTCCTTCTGGTTCTGTGCGGCTTGTGAGTGCCGATGGTTTGTCAGATCGAGGAAGGGTGGAGATCTTCATAAGAGGAGAATGGGGAACGGTGTGCGATGACTTGTTTACAAAGAGGGCGGGTACCGTTGTGTGTCGTCAGCTCGGTTTCATGACTGCCTTGGCAGTGATGAAGAGGGCAGCTTTGGGTGAGGCGAGCAGCAATGTTAGGATTATGTTGGATGATGTGGAGTGTGAGGGTGGGGAACAATCCCTGCTAGAATGCAAGAGGTCAAAGGTGGGGAAACACAACTGTTCTCATGAGGAAGATGTAGGAGTGATCTGTGGTTAGCAAATGTTAGGAAGTAAGAGACAATTGGAATGAGGTTATGTCAGACACACAAACTTTTACCCTTAGATTTCTGGGAAGTTAATGGCTGTTTTAGTGTCTACAAAACTAAGGCTGTGTTTGAATGTCTGCCCTAATCATTATATAGGCCGCTATATAGTGGTTATACCATTTTAGATCAATGTCCGAATGTCTAGTGGATGAAAAAGAAGTAGACTTGTATTTGAAAAGTAGTGATCATCCATGGTCACTACTGTAGATGAGCAGATTTAACCCAGAGTGCTTCACATGAGTGCTCTTCTGTCGCTATCCGACAAATAACAATGATGGCACCATGCGGGTAGGTGGAGTCATGTGAACAACGAGGAGCGAAAAATAATGATCATCTGTCCGAACAGTACGTTAGCTTATTCACTATGAAGTCCACCATATGGTCCCCGCTCTGTATGGTGATTTAGGCATTTAGGGGTTAGGGCAGATGTTGAGACACAGCCAAGGATTGACCCCATGTTTAAGAGGGTTTCCCTATAGACAAGTGCTTGGGAACCACTGCCTTAAAGCAACGGAATGGAAGCAAATATAATTTTCTTTTTTATTGGTAATGACCCAAAATGCCTTTAGTGGAAACACAGATCTTGGATTTAATCAACACCAGAATCCGGTTCCAAAAATGGCCAGGTTTAGCAGATGACTCGAAAGACAATTGGAAAAAAATGTAATCACATTATTAAAAACATATGTAAATCTGGGCTCCAGAAACTTGGCGAGTTATGTCTCTATAAATATAACTTTATGCTGACTAGTGCAGACATTTTTCAGTATTAAAGAGTGAGCAGATAAAAAACTAAAAAGACTACAGTAGCTTATACTATATGAAAAAAAAACACAGATGAATTGCTCCGTTGTTGAAATATTATTTCAATATTTTACGTTTTTCTGGTTTGATTGTTTAAACACAGTTTTTTGTTTAAAGAACCTATTTTTCTATACTCAGCAATTATGTTGGCGTCCTTGTTTTACTGACTAAATGTCATTGTTGAAGGATCATTTTTTTCATGTTACTAATCCTAACCTCTGATTAATGAAGGATTTGACCAATTCAGTATTTTAATTACTAGTTAATACAAAGTTTGATGTGCTATTTAAAACAAAATATGCAAGTTTAAAAATATGTATCTTTATATGTTTTTTCTCAAATGCTAGTTGTAGATTGTGGTGTTGTCGTCAAGACCATGCCAATGAAGCCAAAGAGTACTGAGACAAAACCAAGACCTTTATAGCTCGAGACCAAGATCATGACCATAGAAGGTCTTGGTCTCAGTACTCCTTGGTCTTGGTTGGTGTCGTCTGAACTAAAAAACTAGTAAATAGGTTTAACAAATGTTTTGATTACAATTCTGATACAAAAATGCTGGACATTTTTTATAGTGAACGGGAAAACATTGTTTGAATATAGTGCTCAATGCAATTATTGACACTCCTAATAAAGATGTAAACATAAAAAATTACCGTGTTTTCCGGACTATAAGCCACTATGTTTTCCTAATGGTTTGAAACATATGGTTTATAAGAAGATGTGGCTTTTCTGTGAATTTTTCCTAACTGCCAGAGGGGTAATCAAATTTGGAAATGAAAGAATAAGGGGATAATTTTAATTTAGCACAAGAACCCAGTAGCAGCAGACACGACGGAGAACAAATGTCCCGAATTCATATATTTTGCCATTTATGTGCCTCGTTAAAGCTGTCGAACCAATGAGGAGGCTGGGCTCAACTCCTGCAGAGCTGAAATAAATCTTTAAGTAGAAGATCTTACTGCTGTGAGCCAACAAGGTAACAGGAGCTAGCATTCTTCTTCATCCCTACACTACGGGCTAGATGTAGAGCTCCCCCTACAGGTTTGGGTGGAGACAGTTCTAGTTTTTTCAAAAGAATTTGTGGCTGCGGCTTATAGTGAGGTGCGCTCTATAGTCCGGGAAATACGGTATTTCTTTTTATTTCAATGGCATAATATCATAATGGAAAATTGACAAAAATCTTTAAATTGTGATTCAGCTTATTTCATTAAGAGTGAGAGAGACAAAATTGAGATTTTGCTTTCCACATCGCAGAAATGTTTCAAAATCAAACTTGGGATTTTTTTAAAAGTATTTTCATTGTAAGTATGCTTCTACAATAAAAGATGTTTGTTTTTTTCAAACCTTTTTCGCTTCTTTCTCTGAAATGTCAACAGTTGCTAAAGAATTTTCCTCCTACCGAAGATGGGCACAGGAGGCCTATTATTTGAATAAAGTTTATTGCAAATCATTAACTTCTCCTTCTTTATTTCATATAAATGGTTTCTTAATAGAAAACACAAAGATGGAAACAGTTTTCTATAGTTCTTTTGCATTCAGTAGAGTCAGAAGTGCTTTTTTTTCACTTGTATCTTTAGTTAACGTTTTATTACTCCCAACAGGAAGTAAAGGGACTGCATTTTACTTATTGTCAATTACATTATTTGTCACTGTATTTTGACTATCAAAGTGGCCTCCAGACATATATATACCGGATTGTGAACATATTGTGGCCAGAAACAAAGGACAGTCACAAATGTCTTTAAGGTCTGTGGGACTTTTAGAGGCTTCTTTGATGATTGAAACATTTTTTCTTAGCTGTTCAGTTTTCTGAACATAGCTTTTTAAAACATCAGTCCAGAAAGGATATTTTCCAGACAAATTAGTCCAAATTTTAGTGTACCAGCACTAAATATAGTTCAAACAGAGTTTGAATTTAGTGAGATAAAAAGTTATAATAAAGTGTTTGTTATGATTCATGTATTATTTTTCTATGTTTCATAAAAAGGGCCCATTAATAATCATAGTTGTATTTTGTATTTTAGGTTATTTGCTTTAAGGTTTATATAAAGAAGTACATTAATGTACAAAATACATAATACTGTAATATAATTTTGGTTTGGTTTTATGTCCGGCCAGAAGGAGGCAGTCAAGCATCTTCTATATTCAGGGATGGTTGTAAAGAGGATACTTCTTGGGAGTTATTCCATTTTGCATAACTTCATTAATGTAGAGAAAAGCATTAAAGCATTGTGTTGTTTTTCTGTGTATTAAACATTTGTATTTCACAGCTTCCTCAAATAAACCAATGAAAATAAAATAAATCCCTCCGGTCATGTCGTTTTTCAGCTTCCATCTGGGTTCCTGAAGGCATTTATTATCATTTATTATGATGTTTTCTTATCTAGACAGACACATTTCAGTTTTTCTGCCTTTACCAATACTGATTACACTTATAAAAATATATTGTGATGTTTTTTAACAACTAGGAATTATGATGCATTTCACTATTTGTATTGGGGCAATTAGTGGATTGTAAATTTCTGTGTCTTCAGAATGTTACTTTGTTCCAGTTTATTTATTTTATGTATAAATCTTTCAGTTTGAAAGTATAGTCATATTCAATACATTGGTCAGAATTTGCTTTTCGTTGGGACTATTAACAAAGTTTTTGTTTGTTAATAAAATTTAACAACATTTTATTAATATTACTTTTCTGTATACAAAATGTTTGCTTTTTTTCTGCTCTGTATGCATCCTTCTTTCTTAAATGTCAAGTTTTTATTACGGTAGCTTTAATCTGAAAATCATTTGGATTAAAAAAACAAGTGTTTAGAAATAAATATCAGTTTGTTTAATGAATTTCAAAAATGAGAGTTAGAGAATTAGAAGCTTAATTTATTGTTTTGGGGAAATTAATGTGCATCACTGCATGCATGTGTATCACTGTATAAATGTAAATTCCAATACTTGTGAATTAAACCTTTATCTTTCTAGGTACCTATTTAAAAAGATTAGATTTTCATCTTATTGATGAATAAAAGATTTTTTATCTTAATGAGGTTTCATTAGGTCAGTGGTTCTCAAACTTTTTCTGTCATTCCCCACTTTGGACAAGGGGGAATTTTCAAGCCCCGCCTGTCCCCATCGCCCCAACACAATGCTAATGAAATATGAAACAATCTTAAAATGTTCCAATTTTATTGAAGTAACAAGTAGTATCTAAATACAAACTATCTACATCAAATAACAGCAAGCTCAAAAATAAAGAAAATAAAAATGCAGCTGTGTCAAAATTTGTATCAAGCTCAAAGATAGAAAAAATTAAAGTGCCACTCTGCAATCTGTTAATAAAAGAAAAGAAGTGAAATCCATCTGGCAAGACAGGTCTATTTATCCCTGCATTAGTGGCTGCAATGAGCCTGTTTTGCATTGCACAGTTTCTCAAAACGGTGTTGCAGGCTTGATACTGCCACTCTCAAGTCATGCTTTGTTTTCAGTGAAGCAACAGCTGAAAAGCCCATCTCACAGAGATATGATGTGGCAAAGGGAAGAAGAATGCACACAGCTCTCTGCCCGATGAGTGGAAACTCCCTCTCCACTCCAAACCAGAAACATGAACATGTGGCTGTGTGAATCAAACGCCGTTATTCATTTAAGATAAAATATTTCAAATTCAGTTATTTATGATCAACCTGCGCCGTCAATCCCGGCGCATGTGCGCTTTATTTGCAGTCTGGACGCTGAGGGTAAACATGCTGTGTCCCTTACCTACTGCAGCGCTGAGAGGGACTCCTGCGATAGCGGGGAGAACGGGGTTGGGAGGGAGGAGGCGCCCCACGGCAGCACCTGCCGCTGGAGGACAAGAAAAGGAACGATAGGGGAGAGTGAGGTAAAGTGAGACACCGGGTAATGTGAGACAACCCCTGTATCTAGGCAACAGAACACATTTGTGTTTTTTTTGCATGTAAAAGTAAATTTTCTTGCTGTCAACTTAATCAACTGTTGTGCCAAAGCAAACTGATTCAAGTAGAAAAACTTATATCATACCTGTTGATGAACTACCAACATATAAAATCATGTGATGATGCTAGCTGAAGGTTAGCCTGAATTGCTAAGAAAGGTCATTTTTTCAAAAATGGTGGAGGTGGGGTAAATTGAGACAAATGCTGTGGGGTAAAGTGATACAGTGTCTTACTTTACCCCCACCATGAGGCACAGGGGAAGTTTAGTTGTAAACATATTTAATGTACTATTACATTGCATATGTAATGTAATATTACTATTAATTACATATTAATTAATATGTAATGGTACATTTTTATTTTAAATGTCATAAACATTTTAGAAAAGCCATCATGCCAAGGAATTACACCAGAAAGACAACCTGGGGCAAAACACCCCTCGAGGAGATGGAGAGTGCAGCCGCTTAAGTCAAGGAAGGAAAGAAGTCTCTAAGAGCAGCTGCAAGGGACAGAAATATTGACAAGTCAAGCCTTTTAAGATTCATAAAGAATGCTGGGAATGCCATACCTCCCATGTTTGTCTTCCCCAGAGTCAAGTTTAAGGATTGCTTCATGACAGGAGCACCTCCAGGAGCCAAAGGTACCGCCACCAGAACGGGATGGATGAATGAAGATATCTGGCCTGAGTTCCTTGATCACCTGATACAGCACACTAACTGCACCCCTGATCGTCCC